CTGCTGTTTGGGGGACTTTAACCATTGTACATTGGGCACACACACGCTAGCCACTAGTCTACTGGCACCCCAAAGGTTTTTCATTGGGCAGAAAAAGTCACCTGTTGGGCAAACTGATGTTATGTAAGAGGGCAAGGGATGTTGTGCCCACATGTGATTTGTTTTCTTGGTCAATTGCCAAAGATAATGTCGGCAGTGTGGGAGTCTTACATCGTCTCTGAGAAAGATTAGCAGCTTGGTAGACATGTTTCAGTGACATTTCAAGAGGAGGGACTATGCAAGCAGCGATTTTCAAACATCAAATCACATAGCCTCATTTGAAAAACAGAAACGAAGAATTAAGAAGATGGAACCATAAAAACATTACAGTCAGAATCGGCTAGCCAAACTTATTTTATTAAACATATTGGTATCAGCAATGATCTCACATCTGATTCTTGCTCACCACAGACACATTGCATCCAGTTTAGAAATAATAGTGCGTGCCACAAAACCCATGGGGGCTGATTCTGTCATTCTCTTGTCCTTTCGAGCGTACAGCATGCGTTCCTGGTACATATTTTTGTGTGGCTCTTGTTTGTAGTGAAGGTCAAAGTGTCTCTTCCCATCGACCTCTAAGTGTGGTGACATTTCTCGACTGGGCTGAGAGAAAATTCCGGGATGTTTTTTAAATTGAAGTCTTCAAATGCAGTTTTGAAGTTGAGAGAGAAGGAGGCTTTACTGAACTTGTGCAGGTGGTAATGTTAACTGTTAATGGCTGGTTTGAAAATTGAATGCTCCATCACAGTGCCAGGTTTATTACTCAAGAAACCAGACTTGATGTACTCTCGCTAAACTTTTGAATTGGGCTGTCAAACTGTACATTTACTTTTTTGGTGTCTGTTTTGGTGTTTCATCCCCAAACTACTTCTCCCCTTGCAAATGTTGGCCTAGATTAAAAATAAATGCACTTTAAAACTTTTTTTTTTTGTGGCTAGCAAGTTAAAATGTAAGTTAGTGTTGTGAAATTGTTTCTTAGATGTTCCTTTCCAACCTTGTTGTTAAAATTACATGTCCAGTTTTGCTGCTTTTTTTAGAGGCTGGGGCTCAGGGGACAGAGACACATGCACCTGCACACACAGGCGTGTTACAGCGATACAGAATGCACCTGTGAGCGGCTGTTTTCAATGTGCTGAATGGTAGAAACAAGGTTGTGATATGTTCTTGCAGAGACGTTGCAGTTTTTCATGAAAGTGCTTAGAACAAGCTCCTGCAGCAGGAAGGTTTATTAGAGTACAGTGTGAAGAGGAAATAACTACATGTGAAATCCAGGTTCATGAAAGAGGCCACCTACCTTCCCTGCAGCCCATCATGGTTTGTTGTTTCATATAAAATTAGGTATACAGTATCAACTGAAAACCAATGTGTTTGCTGTGCTAGCCAGCTCATTACTCAGACACCAGCTCTTAGTTTGAAGGTGTGATTTAACAAGCATTATGTGTTAGCTTTTGAGCAAATGTGTCTATAATGTGTTTATGCTCTTTGGAGTTTCCTGCCTGATTTCCTGCCTGAGTTTAATATTTTAAATCCCCTCTTACAGTTACAACACACTCGGATTTCAAGTGATTAACTCCCTGTGTACTAAAGTTTAGGGGCTGATCAGTAGAGGGTCCTGCTTAATTCTTCTCTTTTTTGCATGACTCATTCCTGAATATTTAAAAACAAATCTGCACCCACAGTTTTAATCTGATATCTTTATTGTCTTATAATGCAGAAGTACCACAATACAGAGCAGAGTACATAAAGGCTGTAAATCATGTGCAACTTCCTTAGGAGTTTATTAAGAGAGAACTCTTAGTTAATGGTTTAAGTTGTACAATATGGTTATCCATAAATACTTTTCAATAGTTATAAAAAGAGAAAAGTTATTTCAACACTTTTTCAATAGATTTTTATTTAATCACTTTCAAAGCACACTCTCCCATAAGATGTGAACATAAAAGAAAGATCCTCTGATTTCATTTCCTTGATTGACTGAAGGTTAAATTAGTTCGGCTTCTGGTCTGAGTAGCGCTACACACTTCTTCCTGTTTTGGCGATTAATTTTGGCTCTTGACAGAATTCACACGTTCTGCAGGCTTACAAATATGGAAACGTTGACATTAAAATAAACTGTTTTCTCTCAGATTAACTGGTGCCAAGTTAGTTGTGAAGAAAAATGCTTTTTGAGATTATTTTGGATCGAGGAGGAACATGCTGCAAACATAGACATTGTGGAAAACACTGGGAACAGCAGATCGATGTAGAAACTGTGGGTTATAGCTAATACAAACTCAATATTTATTGGTTATCACAACGATGAACAACGTTTTTTTGCACATCACATATTTTTCTCATATCTTGCAGGCCTAGTCTAGACCCAAGGGGTGCACTGACCAGCAAACAAACAAAGCAATATAGCCATCCCAGGCCTTTGCTTCTTCTGTTAGTGATCTTATTACACCTAACTTAAAAGTGGTTCTTCATTCCAATGAAATTGATCCTCATATTGGGAATAGTATAAAGGCTTCATCTGTTTATAGCTGTTGTTTGCACATCATGTTCCTATAATTCTGTCTGATCTATCTTAGCTGGAACATTACATTTAAATTAAGAATCATTTTAAAGGTCACAATTTATCTTGTACTTTTTTTACATTGGCTTCAGACCCACTAACATTTACAATAATCTTTCTCCATTTGTCTGTTGATTTATAGATTTAGTGATAATAATGCTTTCTATCCCTGTGTGGCCATTTATTACCTCTGGCCTGGACCACAGTGGAATGTGAAATTTAAAGACCATTCCTGCTCTCAGACACCTTTAAGTTATTGACATGAATAAATCCCCGAGTTATTCATCATTTCAATGTGTTGCAGCAGTACAGAACAGTCCCAGCAGGCTCTGTGCAAGAGGCATGAAACTGTAAAAGGGCTGTGGTACCAGACTGGCAACACAGCAGGTGAATCCATCAACAGATGGGTGTACCCTCCCTAGACTGTGATGTGTGTGTGCTCACAGATTGTTTACGCTAAGAGAATAAAGACCATGGGGAGCAGCAGGGTTAGAGAGGTTATTCCCTTCAATATTAGTTGTTCCCAAGTTGTTCAATGTTCCCACACAATAAAGACTTTTCCCTTGAATGAACCTTCAACAGATGATAGCTTTCACTGCTGTTCAACTAAGAGCACTACTGACATTTTCCCCCACATGTATCCAACATGAAAGTTGAGCAAAGATAAAGTATCAACAAACAGAAGATAATAAGCAGGTTATGACCACCAAAATGCTAAACAAGTGAAAAAAACACCTTTTTTCTCAGAGGAATCCAAGTTGGCCAACACGTCTGAGCATGCACACGGCATGCACACAGGACACACTGGCTTGGACCGTGTGCATGGAACAAGAGAGACGTTTCAAATCACCACAACAGCCCTGCTGCACTTGCTCCACTGCTGCTGGAACACGGCTGCGCTGCATCTGGTCCTCATCTGGAGATGTGGGCTGTTTGGATTTTCACCAATGCAAGCTCAACCAGAGCCACAGACAACATGGCAACGCTTAACACTGACAGCAGCAGTCTCCAAGTAGTGGCAGATTTCACTGAGTGATGCAGAGGTTTAGAGACAATCTATTACTCTGATGGAAACAATGACTGGGTCAGAAATCACTAAGTACTTGCCATTTTGTAAAGCCATATAAATGATAATGGAGAGAATAGTTATTATTTTAAATGGCTCAAAGTAGAGTGAATGGCAATGAAAAGTAGTTCACCATTTTATTGATGACCTATATTGATCCCAAACTAGGAAATTGTGAATTATATCAGGAGTTATCCTGATATAAAAGAAATACACAGTACATTTACACTAAGGGCGCACCACACTAGATAATCCGACGTACCTCCTTAAGCATGCGTCACCCTAAAAGTCCAGGTTGAAAGAGGTGTGCTTCGGCATGGTACAGTTAATGCACCAGCACAAGTACGGTCATGAAACATGGCAAGACTTTGATCATTGAGAAATCCTGGAGTGTTATGGCTGTATTTGACTAAAATGACTCATTATAAGCCACAAAGTCAGTGAAGTAGCAGTGTTGATCTCTGATTCTGTCGTTCCTATTTTCTTTCATTCTACTGTGGAGGCAGCTACATGTGTGTGTTTACTGGAGTGTGGTATGGGTTTTATCACACATCATTTGTATCGTGTACTTCAACTTTAAAACAGTCATTAATGTTGAGGGTTAAAATCGAGACAAAATGTTCCACTGAAACAAAAGAAGAACTGGCAGGCTGACATCTGTAGGTGGGTGTCCCAAAAAAAAAAGAAAGAAGGAAAACAGAGATTAGAGGTGTGGCCTGCGGTCTTGTTATCTGACTTATGAATTCCTCCACCCACGTATTCCCTCGTGCCATTGTCTCCTTTCAACACTCAAATCCGTCTCAAAGTCCATAATGGTCGATGACTGGCAAACAGCAAATAAGCCAAACATGACTGTTGAGGCCACTTTCTCCAAATCCTTAAAAACAAAACAGTTTTCCCATTTACTTCCAGTCGCACGGTGGTATCCAGCCATGCAGATGGTTTTGGTATATTTGTTGAGGTTTTAAAATAGACAAAAGATGCCGTGTAGTTACATTTTAACATTGCAAGAAAGTAAGATCAGGATAATCCAGAGGAAATTGTTTCCACCAGTCCTGGTGCTGCCACACATGTGTTGGAATGTGGTGATTGTTTCTCTAAATATTACTCTCTCCCTATCATACACTCTCCTTGCTTACCGGTTAAATCTCTTGCAGAATATTGGGACACTGAGTGTACAAATACTGGATCTATTCATAATTTGTGTTCTTAATATCCCTACAGAGATGGCATGTGCACATTCTGCAAAATCTCTTTGTAACATGTCGCAGACGTTTGGCCTATTGCCACCTTGTATCTTGCAGTATCGATGTATCTGAACAGACTTTGCCTGTTTTGCAGATTCGAGCTTCTGTAATGGACGACCAGTGTGTGTCCCACAGCAGTCCCCAGCGCAGCGGAGGTCAGGCCGGCGCAGAGACGCAGAGGCAGGGACGGCCGAGTGTCATCAGGTGTGGGTGGCTACGGAAGCAAGGAGGTTTTGTCAAGACTTGGCACAGCCGCTGGTTTGTTCTTCGAGGGGAGCAGCTCTTCTATTACAAAGACGAAGAGGAGACCAAAGCCCTGGTAAGGCTGCAAACACACTGAAAGACTTATCCAGTTTCATGGTATTGCCCAGAACTGTTTTCATGGAATCATACAGTATATTAGTGGTCAAATGTTCTAAAGGAATTGTCACAAAAATAATGGCATTTTGGATGGTACACCACTCCAAAATCAACAAATCAATTTCATCTCTTGTGAGCTCAACAAGATTTTAAATTGTTGTGATTCCATCTGGCAGATCAGAAAACTAGTGAGCAGATATTTCCTGTGAACAGATAAGATCAGAGTTGCACGCTGCATGTGGAAATATTGGGGAAGCCGATGGTTCCCATGTGCAGTTTTCTGTGCTTATTGGAACACGGAGACAAAAGGAAGGGAGGAAAGGGTCGCACTTGGTTACATCGCTCTTTGTCCAATCCGGGAGTGAGTGTGAAAATATAGCAGTTCCAACAGTAACGTGTAGTTTAACCAATACTGCTAAACACAATATATAACAACCTTTGTTAGTTTTGAAGCCAGACATGCTGGCTCTGCACTCTACACCAGGGATTCATTTAATTCTCACTGCCAGAGGGGCCAAATTGTAGGATACAAAAACGATTACAGTCAGTTTTGTCTCAAATTGAACTCAACATATACCAGTGATCAAATATTATTATGGACATATTTCTGGTTTTCATGATTTCATGGCAGATTTGGTCATGTTTTCTTCATGTTTCCAATTAATTGATATTGACCTGAGGGCCACGTTGAGGGTTGATGGGGGCCTCATGTGGCCCCCGGGCCGCCAGTTGCCCACCCCTGCTATACACTGTTAACCTTCAAGTACTCAAGAAGTTACTAATATAAAATGCTAATTACCGGTCATAAAAATTGATAAAAAATCAACATTAACTTGAAACAGGAAACAAACTGTTTCTTAAAATGTTTAATATACATTTTTCTAAAGGTTTTATATTTTAGGAAAGAATCCAGAGCCCAGATTGCAGATTGGTTAATGATCAAAAGTCAGACTAATGTCCCATTTTCCCGACTTACTTCCAATATTCTGTAAAAATATTCTGCTGTCCTTTTCTAAACAAAAAGACCATCTGTCTTTGACTTAAGTTTCAGTTCATGTAATTATGCTGTTTTCTGCAAGTTTATATAACAGCTTTACAGAAATGTATCAATAGATCAAGATTCAGAGTGTCTCTGAAACAATGGGCAGCTTGTGTCTACAGAGCTGATACTACATCTTTCAGCCAAGTAAGATAAGACGATCTGACTCTGATTCAAACGAGTAAAGTGCTGAGAGCTGGTTCTGACTGAAGCAGACACAGAGAGCTGTCCTGAAAGAAGTAGGGACAGTGAGTGATGCAGACAATAATACCGTCTCTAACGTTACTGTAACCAGGCAGCCCACCTCACTGAGCATGTGCAGACTGAACAAAGAAAACAGGACCAGACAGACTTTTGACTCTCATTAGAAAGGGAAACTATACACATCACATGTGGAAATGTGGACCACCACCAGGTTATTTCAATAAAGCGCTGCATGTTTGTAACGAAGCTGAAGTTAAACTAACATCTGGGATGAAGAGAAATAAGGATAAGTTGACATTGATTTATGTTTCTTCTGTTTTAGAGCAGCTCAGGGATCAGTTTGCTGGGATTTAGTGTCAGGGAGCCAGAGACAGCTGAATACAGATTACAAGGGATATTAAAGGAGTAGATGGGTTCATTGGATACCACGTATATATCCCTCAGTTAAATATGAATCTACTGGAGATGATTACTAGCTTAGCTTATAGCAGAAAGATTGGAAGACAGGGTAAAACACTAGCCTGTCCGGTTCAAAATCTACCCACCAGCAACTGAAATGTAATAACTACAGCAAGATAAAGCATGTGAACACTTTTTAAATGGTTCTATCATTACACAGAGACATTCTTGCTGTTTTTCCTGCAATTTAGATTGTTTGGCTAAAATAGGATTACTGATTTTGAAATTTCTCCGTTGAAGCTCAAAATCAATCCAGTCTATTTTTATTAATTAAAACCAAATTCTTTTTTTTTGGATCACATTTTATATATTTTTGCTTTCTGCACTTCATTTAATAATTTCTTTACCAAAGTTTCTTGTCTGATACCAGGGAAGTCTGCTTAGAGAGAAGTTATTGGTGCATGGGCTCCTCCAGGAAAATAATCTGATCTTGAATTATTTTCTTAATGTCAGATATGAGTATAATTTAACTTATAGCCAACACAACAGTTATAGCTAACATATCCACTCTAAATCAAACTGTGATCTTTATTAACAAATAACTAAATAAAATAAAAACCATTTCACAATGTTAAACACACGTTATGATTACCACGACAACCAAGGACTCTGACTCCGTCACTTCCTGCATTTCTATAACGTATATTGTCACTGTTTTAGAATACAAGTAGCTAATAGACACAATCATGACACACACATTTCCTGAAATACACATTTCTTAGAGCTCCTGTGAGGAACTTTTTGGTTAATTTTCATTTTAGCGCCCCCTGTGTGTCTCTTCGCTGTCCATCCTTAGTAGTGTTTTTAAGAAAATTCCACTTTCCTTTGACAGTCATATGTTTCAAGTATCGAGATATTTGCCGAATTGCCGTAGAAAATTCAAAAACGAAAGGCTGTCTCGGCATCGTGCAGTCAACCGCTGAGTCTGACACCTGCCCCATGGCAGTCGTTCCAGCAGTTCAGGAACAGGAGCTTTAAATACTAAAATACCAAAAAGTTGAGTTACATTGTGTGTAGGACTCAGTAAGCAAGTCACATATAGAGTGATACTTGAATCAGAGTTACTTTAAATCTATCTAAAGTATTTTCATAGGTCAATTGGCATATCTTGACTTGTCGCTAACTCATTTATGCATTACGTTATGTCCTTTTGGGGGTTATTCTTTTGCATTTTAAAACACAGCTGTTTCACACCAGAAGCTCTGTTCTTAGTCTGCATAGAAAAATACACCAAGGACCCCAACCTTTTATATCTATTCCATCCAAACAATGTCCTCTTTTTTTCTTTTTGTTCATGGGAAACTTGAACTCTTGGTGCACAAATGAATTGTTCATTCTGCTCATCTACCCACACTTCTGAGTCTGGCTGATTTCCCAGAAAGCTCAGCTCAGCCAAACCTAAGCCACATCATCAGCACAAGTCTGTGAAGGTTAAAGCTGCAGACCTGAGGGTGGGCCACTGGCCAGATACAGTGAGAGGAGATAGTCTCTACTGCTATTTCTGGGTAGCTCTGCTTCTTCCTGTGGTCTTATATTGGGAGCACCAGCAGCTTTGTTTATGCTCTTGGTGCTGAGAATATCCTGAGGGAATGATGCAAACTCTGCGGAGCTGTTTTTCATAATAAGTCACCGAAAATGACAGGAAACAATTTGTCTTCCTTAAATATACTCGTCATCTACTTAAAAATTATTTGTATTAATGTTCCTTCAACTTTAGAGACTGGATGGAAACTCTGCACTTGTTTCTTAACTTTCACTCTCTATTTCTGAAATGAAGCCAACATCAATTCCAGTCACCTAAACCTGCTACTTTTTGCAGAGAATGGGAAAATTTCAGTAAAACTAGGTCAGGCACAGAGCAGTGCGCTCAAAGTCCTTAAATCTCTGTGACCTCCAAAGCAGAACAGCATGGAATAGCACGAAAAAACACTCTCACAAGACACGGCAGTACCCATCAGGAGACTAAAGAACAAGTGTAGAGTTTCTAACATCCTGAAAGACAGAACACAAGTAGGGCAAAGAGGACAAAGAGCATCCACTGAAGTTGTTCTTAGCCTTTAAGACTGATGTTCAAGATCAGGGCAAAAAACGTACAACAGCATATATTCGACCCATCAGACAACTCAAAGGGTGTGAAGTGGATCCCTGAACCACATGAAGCCCAGTGGTGTGAAGCCATATTTAGATCAGATATTAATTAATCCTCTCACACGCCGTGAAGTCTCCATTTGTTACCTGTCACATTTGCCTAATTGCCGCCTTCTCAGTGGGAGCAGGAACATCTGCCTTTCTCTGTTGCCGTGGAAACACGGACGCTAAAAACTTGGCATCATATTGAAAATGTCAGAAATTTCTGCAGATTGGCATAGAGGAGAAACGACTGCAGGAAACTTACATAGGAGTCAGAACTTTCCATACCCTGAGTGTATGCTCCGCTCCAGACCGACAAACAAGAATCTGTTTGGCTTTGGACTGTACTGACCTGAAGGATCTTAATTGTCCTATCAGTAAGTATAATGTGTGCTTCGGTTAGCAGAAGTGAATTCTGTGGCTCCTCGGGCTGGGAATCTTTGGGTGGCTCATGATTTAATGTGATTTTCGATTCTTGGGGTGAAGTGTTGTAACTCCAGTCTTTAATTCTGACCATGAATTCCCCATAGAACATTTATTACAAAGGCTGTAGTGAGAAGTAAACATTATATTGACCTATTCAAACATTCTTATAATAAGCAACCTCTTGTGTTCATGTGAATAATAACTATGTAATATGATATTTAAAAGTGTAAAAGACTAAAGAAGAGGTTGGGATAGCGATACAATCATGTGTCCAACTTTGCTTTCATGCAATTTTAACCCTGACCACATCTTTCCAGATTCCAAACAAGGTAGTTGCTTTAACATAACCTAAAACTCTTTTTGGCTACTTTGGGGCATTGGCATGAAGAGATCCAAATATAGAGACTTTTAAGAACTTTTAAGAACTTGTCTTCAGATGAGTCTTTAGATAACATTACTAGAAACACAGTGTTATTATCGTCAGTGCAAGGGGGACAGTATTGTCCCCGGTACAGCCGAGCCAAACCTCTCTGTGCGGCGTGTGGAATCTGAAGAATGGGAGTCACATGGAGGTGAAGGGTCACCAGAAAGCATGCACAGGGTACGGCACGTGTGGGCTCGGCGTCAACATGCCATCTGCCTGCCCCTACTCGTCCATGGAGATATATGCACGTACAAGCATGCATGTAACCGCTCACACT